CGCCCCGGGGCGCCTGCTGGGGTGAACCTGGATCTGCTGTGTCCATGTCCTCTCTGGAGCCCTGTCTCTTTCCTGTTGAGCCCACAATCTGTATGGAGGTCCTGGACTCCTCTTGCTCCCACTCAAAGCTTGTTAGTGAGGGCATCTGCAGACCTTTGCTTTTCAAAGACCATAAGGAAATCATGGAATCGTGGAATGGTTTGGGTTTGAAGGGACCTTCAAGATACCTGGATCTGCTGTGTCCATGTCCTCTCTGGAGCCCTGTCTCTTTCCTGTTGAGCCCACAATCTGTATGGAGGTCCTGGACTCCTCTTGCTCCCACTCAAAGCTTGTTAGTGAGGGCATCTGCAGACCTTTGCTTTTCAAAGACCATAAGGAAATCATGGAATCGTGGAATGGTTTGGGTTTGAAGGGACCTTCAAGATCATCCAGTTCCAACCCCCTGCCACGGGCCAGGACACCTTCCACTACACCAGGTTGCTCAAAGCCTCATCCAACCTGGCTTTGAACACTTCCAGGGATGGGGCAGTGCAGTTTCTCTGGGCAACCTGTGCCAGTGCCTCACCACCCTCAGAGGGAAGAATTTCTGCCTTAGATCTCATTGAAATCTCCCCTCTTTCAGTTCAAAGCCATTGCCCCTTGTCCTGTCACTACATGCCCTTGTCCAAAAGCCCCTCTCCAGTTTTCTTGTAGCCCCTTTAGGTACTGGAAGGCTGCTGGAACGTCTCCCCGGAGCCTTCTCCTCTACAGGCTGAATAGCCCCAACTCTCTCAGCCTGTCTCCATAGCAGAGGTGCTCCAGCCCTCGCATCATCTTTGTGGCCTCCTCTGACCCGCTCCAACAGTCCCATGTCCTTCTGATGATGGGGACCCCAGAGCTGAACGCAGCACTGTGGGGGGAATCTCACAAGAGCACTCATGGGTAATTCATGGTGGAGGCTGCTGGGAAGTGGTTTATGTGGGACAGCACAGCCATGAAGATTGGCTCCCCTCAAAAGAAGGATGCTCGGGGGTCTAGTGCCACATTGGGAGGGGGGGTCACCCCCAGAGCTTGCGGCCTCCAGCCAGCGCATCCACATGACCCCAGGGAGACACAGCCCCAACCAAGCCAGAGACTGTCCTTGCAGGAGAGCTCTCTCTACGCGCACACTCCCAGCTTCGCAGAGGCCCAAAGCCCATACGTACCGGATACGACACACACACACATATACACCTACACCCACACATTTCTCTGCCCCGCGTGCACTCGCCTGAGCCAAGCTGCTAGCACCAGAGGTTACGCGAGCGGCTGCAACACCCTTGGGACGTGGACATCCCTCTGTGGCACTGTTTATTCCGGCCCATTTCACTCCTAAAAGCACAAAGTGTTTTCTGAAACCCCTCAGACCAAATCCAGCACCGCCATGGGTCAGTCCCCAGGAGGAGGAAACATTGCAGGACAAAAGCTGGTGTCTCTCAGGGCCTGGAAGAAGAAAGCAGGTGCTCCACAAGTGTGGATTCTTCAGGGTATACGGAAGCTAGATATTAAAAGATGGATCACAGCAGTGGTCAGAGCCAGATAGTCTGGGATCTGGCGTGGGATGGAGAGGAGGATTTGCTCAGGACGGACCTCGAAAGTGCAGGTTCCTCCCGCATCAAGTCCACCAGCCTTGGCACCAGGCAGCACTTCAAGCTCCTGGGGTCCGTAGGTACCGTCTGGCCATGGCTGATTGGGTTATCCTGTTCTGCAGGGCAGTTTTTCTCTTCCAAGCCACCCATATCTCTGGGTCAGCTGTTCCCATCTCCCTGCCGCCCTGAGCTCCGGTGTGGGATGGGTGGAAGCAATACCTGACCCATGCATCCAAGCAGTGACCTCCATCCCATGACTGTACCCCTTCTGCATCCATCCAAAGCGTTATTGCTCACCCCATGTCATGCATGACTGCAGCAGCCTGTGGTCCTGAGCACCCTGTGGTCAGGATGCGGCTGTGAGGTCCTCTCTTCTTGCCCAGCACGTTGGAGTCACAACCAGACGCAGCTCTTGGGTTTTGGGTAGGACTTGCGGCAGTTCATGGAAGCAGGTGGGTCTCTTAGATGCCTCCAGCCTGTGCTTGGGCAATGGAGAAGCTGTACTGTGCCTTCCTCCACGCCGGGATGGCTGCCACCACCCCGGGCAGGATGTCAGGCAGCCGTCCCTCCCCACCACCCCCAGGTCACCTCTCAGCACAGCCGTTGCTTCACCCTTCATTTCCCATCCAAGGTTCCTCCAAGGTTGTCCTCCCAGGGAGAGGCAAGGGTCTGGCTGGACGTGGGCACCGCCATGCCCGCTCCCCGGGAGGAGGGACCACACCCATCCCCACCACAGCCTGGCCCAACCCCTAGATCATCCCCGCCAGGTAGGGCGGGAGGAAGAGCCCCACAGTGCCCAGCAAGCAGACGATGATGAACATCCAGAGGAAGATGCGGTCGATCACCATGGCCACGTACTTCCAGTCCTCCTTCACCTGCCGAATGGAGAGGGGTTGTGAGCGCGGGCAGAGGGTGCAGCCCACCATTTCTGAGGACTCCTTGGGGTTAGGAGACCACTCTGGGCTTCCTCTGCATCCTCTCAGGGATGTCTCAGGGTGAGGAGATACCCTGTGTCTTGGGAAGTCCCTGGAGCAGCAGGGCTGGGGGGATGGACCTCTCCAAGGAGGCTGCTCGGGACAGAACTAATCCCACACAGGGTTTTCTGAAACCACCTGGGTAGAAGTAGGAGTGCAGCCTCCGGGCAGGGTGCGAGGGCAGGACAACACGGGAAGGAGAAGGATCTCCAACATCCCCGATGGGGTCTGGAGGAACTCTCAACTGACCCTGTGGAGTGGGCATCTCCCAGGAGGGGGTCGTTGATCTCCTTGACTTTGACTCCTCAGCAGCCAGAGAACCAACCGAGGGTCCCAGCACTGACCCCTCTCACGGAAGTACGAGTGTCAGGAGGCAGCACCCAGCGTGGGAGACCCCCCTCACCCCCCAGCCCTCGGGGCCACCCACTCACCGAGAAGTCAGCATCTTCGGCTCGCAGGTGGTCTGCGATGTACTGCACCCCTTCCAGGGCCTTCAGGATGCTGGGGGACAGCGTCAGCCCCTGCTCCGAGCCCACCTCCTCCTCCTTGGGGGACACTCGGGGTGCTGACCCCCCTGACACCTTCCCCGCTTGGCGCCCGCAGCTGTAGCGGCAATGGGTGCCCTGGCCATGGGAGTCCACCTGGGACACGCGGTTGGGATACGTCTTCTCCTCTTCCTCCTCCTCTTCTTCTTCCTCCTCCTCCTCCTCCTCTTCCTCCCACTTGTCATCCACATCAGTCTCCAGCCAACACCGAGAGGTGCTGAGCCTTGTCCCCGGGAGGTCATACTGCCCCGCAGTCCCGTCGGGGGGTGGCAGGGCTGGAGGTCGCTTCATAAACAGCCATCGAGGGATGAAGTCGAGGAAGAAGCTCCGCACCCAGTGGGGCATGGTGTGGGTGCTGGGGGAACGGTGGTGGACATTGAGGACAAAGACAGTGATGATGATGGAGAGGGTGACGAAGATCATGGTGAAGAGGAGGTACTCGCCAATGAGAGGGATGACCAGTGAGGTGGATGGGATGATTTCCGTGATGAGCAGTAGGAATACGGTGAGGGACAGCAGGACAGAGATGCAGAGGGTGATCTTCTCCCCGCAGTCAGAGGGCAGGTAGAAGACCAGCACGGTCAGGCAGGAGATAAGCAGGCAGGGTATGATGAGATTGATTGTGTAGAAGAGCGGAAGGCGGCGGATGATGAAGCAGAAGGTGATGTCGGGGTAGATCTCGGTGCAGCAGTCATACTTCTTGGAGTTATAGGTGCCGATGGCATTTATGATGGCCCACTCGCCGCTCTCCCAGTAATCCTTCAGGTCCACGTGGTGCTCCATGTTCTCCAAGTCAATCTTGGCCTTGTCATAGGTCCAGGAGCCAAACTTCATCTTGCAGTTCTGCTGGTCGAAGGGGAAGAAGGTGACATCGATGCTGCACGAGCTCTTGTAGATGGCAGGTGGCACCCACTTCACCTTCCCGTTGAAGAAGAGGTGGGCCTTTGTCATGTGGGTCACAGCGAACTCCCCATCGGCGCTGCAGGTGTGGAAAGATGTGAAGGTTGGAGGAGGATGAAGTATTTCCCCCAAGAAATAGAGCCAGGAGCTCCCTCAGCTCTCAGGGCTGGTGTGAGCCTTGATTTGAGGCTATGGCCCCGTTGTGCAACCCCGCATGGTGCTGGGTTTATCATCCTGAGCATCACCCGGAGCATAGAAATGAGTGGGAGCATGAGCACTGGACATGGGGAGACAGATGCAGACTGACTTAGTAGTGGGATGGGATGGGATGGGATGGGATGGGATGGGATGGGATGGGATGGGATGGGATGGGATGGGATGGGATGGGATGGGATGGGATGGGATGGGATGGGATGGGATGGGATGGGATGGGATGGGATGGGATGGGATGGGATGGGATGGGATGGGATGGGATGGGATGGGATGGGGTAGCCGGCCCTAGAGATGCCTCATCTCAGCAGCATCACTCACTTGTTGTAGAGCACAATGTCGGGGATCCAGATCATCTCAGAGGGCACGCGGATGGAGGTGACATTGTCAAAGTCCACCGGGTCCCAGCGCAGCTTGTAGTCACTCCACTCCTGGAGGGAGACATGGAGGGGAGGGCGGCAGGGGGCCCTGGGGCTAGTGGGACCGAGCTGCCCAATGCCTCCTGCTCTTCCTTCTCCTCCCACAGGAACAGCACAACAGAGATGACACCAAGCCCCCCTAGGTAGGATCTCATTGAGCCCTCCTTGACACGCTTCTGCTCTTGCTCCAGAGAGGGAACAGGCTCCTACCTGCTTCAGCCAGACATTTGTGGTCATCATTTGGTTCTTCTCATCCTGCAGTGGAAAAGAAGGAGAGAAGAGAGGAGACAGGCAGAGAGAGCCCAGGGGTTTGTCCCACCAGTGCATCGGCCCCTGAATTACTGCTTTCACTTTCTGCCCTCTGCTTTTGGGGATCAGCTCCTGGGAGCAACTGGTACCAGTCCAAGTCCAAGGAGACGCTAGGTTTCCCTGTGACATCTGCTCACTAGATGGCAGCAAGAAATAGCATTTTTACAGCGAACAGCTCTGAGCCAGCAGTTCAGGTGCTCTGTCTGGCTCATCAGCCAGCCGCTTATGGACGAACAAATGCACGTGGACAGATGGGTAGATGGACAGACGGATACAGGGATAGATGGATGGATGGATGGATGGATAGATAGGTGGACAGATGGATAGGCAGATGGGTGCATGGGTGGACAGATGGGTGTGCGTGGGAGGAATGAGCGAGGGAGAGATGGACAGAGAAGCCCAGAGGTGCCCCTGGAGCAGATAAATGGTGGATAAGGACATGGCAGGGATGGAGATCTGCAGTTTTCCTTGATGGTCTCCTGCTGTCAGGTGAAGGGAGGATTTGGGATGGAGAGGAGGGGTGCGGACTGCCCTGCTCATTGGAGGTCTGGGGGAGGCAGAGTGGGTGGTTTGTCATCTGCTGGAGAAGGCCCAGAGGTTGCTGGTGCCCGAACTCGACCTCCCACCGGTGTCCCCAGGCTCTGGTCTGGCAAACCAGTAGGATCAACTGGTGAAAAGTCAGATGCCACACGGGCCTGGGGATCTCACGCACCACATCGATCAGCTGCGCAATGGAGAGCCCAAATTTCACGATGACCACGTCGGAGGTGTTGGGTACCGGCCGCGACCACCGGTTGTAGCCAGTGAAGAGATGCTTGAAGAGACGCTCCTCGGCGTGGTTGCCCGGCTGCTCCCGCAGGCAGGTGGCTGTGGGGAGACGGGAATGGGGTGAGGGAGGGCTCACTGACCCCTCTCTTCCACACCCCTGCACCCCACTGAAATGGGGTGTCCATTCTGGGCAAGCCCGCTCCCTGCTACAGCAGCAGGGAAGGACCGCAATGCTCTTGGCTCTGCCTGGAAGTCGTTGACGTTGGTCTGGTGGAGCATCACTCGGCTGTCCTTCCTCGCTGCAGAGCCCCATAAATTTCCACCAGCAAGCTGAGGGAGGCTGAGAGAGGGAGAGATGGGGGGTGGGGAAGGCTTTGCAACGGCAAAGTGCAACCAAGGAGATGTTATATGGGTGGCTCTGCCTTGAAGAAGGGTGGGTGTATGGCCCCGTAGCATGCCCCATGCCCCGTGCGAGCTCTTCTCATAAGCCCAGGTTGTTGTATTTTGGCCAGAGACAATGTTCTGAGCAGCTTCAAGGGTGCTGGGGAGGGCTGGACCCAAGCAAAGGGACAAGCAAGATACTCCCAGCTCCTGGGAGGTCTTGTGTTAACAGGGGGGTGGAAGCAAACATCATTTTTTTCCCATCCCTCCAACCCTTCTGCTTGCACAGGATGGATCTGGGGTCCCAGAGGTGCATCCCTTGGGACACCAAGGGTCTGGATATTGTCAAGGTGCTCTGCAAAGACATGAACCCCGTCCTTGCACGGTGCGTGGGTGGCGACACCACGCCAGCATGGAGATGGGGGACGCTGAGAGCCTGTGTGTGGGTAAACTGGGAGAGAACTGGTTTTCCATGTACATGCACCACAGTCCCCTCAGCTTCCCCTCCCCTCCTCAAATTTAGCCCCCCCCCAGGTGACACCCATGGGAAGGCAGGGCTCAGGCCAAGGAAATTCAGGTACCCCAGGGAAAGCAGAACCACTCTTACCCGTCTGGAAGGTGATGAAGGACCATACGACGAGGGGGATGATGCCATGGGATAGCTGCCCCATCTTCCTGGTACTGGTGTCCCCCATGGACCCCCTCCCTGGAGCAGTTTGCAAAACCCCCCAGGAGGGACCAGAGGGAACGATGAGCTGAGGCTGTGGTGGGAGAAGCAGCTCAGCAGAAAAAGCCACCACAGGGGACCTTCAACGGAGTGTCCTGCGTGTCCCCAGCGTTAGCGAGCGCTGGAGGAGCCATGGATGGAGCTGGATGTGGGCTGGGAGAACCTCAGCAGGGACACAGGTGGGCCAGGGTGGGTGGGTGGTCTGGGATGCTCTGCTGAGCCGCCCGCCCCAAATTTCATTCCTGGGAAGACAGCAGAGAGCGGCACCATCACTGCAATGCCGCTGCGACATGGGTCTGGGAGGTGACAGTCCTGCTGCCGTCCCCTCCAAGCCACTCCCAGCTGCCAGCAGGGCTTGGAGCTGGTCCAAGCTGCCACCATGGCAGGGTCAAGGGCAAATGGCCCCAAAGTATCTGCTGCCCCTTTCACCAGCGCTTTTGGGGCAGGCAGGGCATGGACCCGGGCTTTGACTGCCGGGGGTTAAAGCGATGGGAGCCCAGTCTACCCCAACATGATTTAAAAGAGATGGAGCCCAGGGCTCCAAACCTTTCTGGGGTCATTAGAACCATCCTTCTGCCCTCCCTGACTCGAACCTTCTTCATGCCTTGAGAGCAAGGGAGGGGGAAACATCTCAGCTGCTCCAAGAGACTGCGCTGCCCCAAATGGGCTCCCAGGGCTGGTTTCTCCAGGAGCCCTTGCTTCTGAGAAGAGGAATCATAGGATCATAGAACAATTTGGGTTGGAAAGGACCTTCAAGATCATCCATTTCCAAACCTGTTTGCCACGGGCAGGGACACCTTCCACTATACCAGGTTGCTCAAAGCCTCATCCAACCTGTCTTTGAACACTTCCAGGAATGGGGCAGCCACCAC